TAACACTAAGGGAAAAGAGGTCAGTGCCCTTGACTAAATAGTCAGATATTGCATGTTTTAAAAATTCTTGTGGCATACAGGTTGAACATTTCTGTTCTACATTAATGATAATGAGCAGTCTTCACTACACACAAAAGTATATCCATACCTCAGAGATATTGTAGGTTCAGTTCCAGACCAACACAATAAAGCAAATCCTATATAATAAAAGGCTAATATGCAAATCGACCGAATAGCAAATGACTGGTTGTTATGACATGCACTTACCACCAGGGGGCAGATGCTCAATGCAGGAGCTGCCCCCTGGTGGTCGGTGCGCTCCCACAGGGGGAGCACCGCTCAGAAGCCGGGCTCACAGCTGGCAAGCGTAGCGGCGGTGGCAGGAGTCTCTCCTGCCTCCTCAAAAGCACTAAGGATGTCCGACTGACGGTTTAGGCCCACTTCCTGCGGGGAGCAGGCCTAAGCCATCAGTCAGACATCCCCTGAGGGCTCTCAGACTGAGAGGGCGCAGACCCAGCTTAGGGGACCCCCCCCCCCCCAGTGCACGAATTTCGTGCACCGGACCTCTAGTATTACAATAAAGCAAATCACAAGTTTTTAGTCTCCCAGTACATACAAAAGTTATGTTTACACTATACTATAGTCTATTAAGTGTGCAGTAGCATTATGTCTAAAAAAGCAATGTACATACCTTAATTAAAAAACACTTTGTTGTTAAAAATGCTAACCATCATTGAAGCCTTCAGCAAATCATAATCTTTTTTGACAGTGAAGTGTCTTGTCTGGATGTGACACTGAATGACCAGGGTGCTGGTTGTTGAAGGCTGGGGTGGCTGTGGCAATTTATTAAAACAACAGTGAAGTCTCCCCTATCGATTGACTCTTTCTTTCATGAATGGCTTCTCTTGTAACCTGCAATGCTGTTTAATAGCATTTTACCCACAGTAGAACTTCTTTCAAAATAAGAGTAAACTACCCTAGCTGGCTTGGCTCAGTGGATAGAGAGTTGGCCTGTGGATTGAAGGGTCATGGGGTTGATTCTGGTCAAGGGGCATATGCCTAGTTTACAGGCTCGATCCCCAGTAGGGGACATGTAGGAGGCTGCCAATCAGTGATTCTCTCTCATCATTGATATTTCTGTCTCTCCCTCTCCCTTCCTCTCTGAGATCAATAAAGATATATTAAAAAGAATATCCTGCTAAGTGGAAAACAGCACTTTTTTAAAAAATATATATTTTATTGATTTTTTATAGAGAGGAAGGGAGAGGGATAGAGAATTAGAAACATCGATGAGAGAGAAACATCGATCAGCTGCCTCCTGCACACTCCCTACTGGGGATGTGCCCGCAACCAAGGTACATGCCCTTAACCGGAATCGAACCTGGGATCCTTGAGTCCATAAAAATTAATAAATAAATAAAAAGAAAAGGTTTTTAAAAAATTAGAGTAAACTGCTACTTTATTAACTAAGTTTATGTATATTCTAAATCCTTTGTTGTCATTTCAACAATCTTTACAGTGTCTTCAGGAGTAGATTCCATCTCAATAAATCACTTTCTTTGTCCATCCATATAAAGCAACCCCTCATCCATTCGCTTTATCATGAGATTATAAAGGGAGAAAGTTTTACAGTAATAGTCGGAGACTTCAATTCCCCACTCACAGTAATGGATAGAACAACCAGACAGAAAATAAGTAAAGAAATGGAGGACTTAAACCACACAATAAATCAGCTAGAACTAACAGACACATACAGAACACTCTACCCAACAACAACAGATTACAGGATGGAGCCAAGGTAGATTTATAGTTCTTTGTTTGGAAAATAATACAAGAATAACTGTTTTGTGTACTCACAATGAAACTATGAAACGTTAAAGAAGACATAAATAAATTGAAACACATTCCATGTGCATGGATTAGGAAGAAGACTTATTGTTAAAATGTCAAAACTTTTCAAAGCAATCTACAGGTGCAATGCAGTGCAATCGCTATCAAAATCCCAATGACTTTTTTGCAGAAGTAGACGAACCATAATAAAATTCATACAGATTCTCAACAGACACCCAAATAACCAAAACAGTCTTTCAGAAGAACAGAAAAACTTGAAGACTCACACTTCCTGATATCAAAATTTACTACAAAGCTATAGTAATCATCACAGTGTGGTATTGACCTAAAGACAGACATATAGACCAATGGAATGGAATAGAAAGCTCAGAAATGAACCCTCATATATAATCAATTGCTTTTTAACAAGTATGCAAGATCATTCAAAGGAGGGAGAGAAAAAAAAACAGCCTTTTTCAACAGATGGTGCTGAAAAAACGATACCCACATGCAAAAGAATGAAGTTGGACCCTTACCTAAGCCTTCCACAAAAACTCAAAATGGACCAAGGACCTAAATGTAAGACAATAAAACCTGGGAAAAAGAAATAGGACAAAAGCTTCACAGTAGTGGATTTGGCAATGATTTCTTAGTTATGACTTTAAAGGCGTAGATAACGAAACAATCAAAAAAATAGACTTGCCCTGGCCGGGGGGCTCACTTGGTTGGAGTATCATCCCATACATGAGGAGGTTACAGGTTCGATTCCCAGGGCACATACCTAGGTTGCGGGTTTAATCCCTGGTCAGGGCACATACAGGAGGCAACTGACGTGTGTGTGTGTGTGTGTGTGTGTGTGTGTGTGTGTGTGTGTCTCCCCCCTCTTTTCTCTCTCTCTCTCTCTCCCCATCAATAATCAATGAAAACATATCCTTGGGTGAGGAGGATTTTTTTTAAGAAATTATACTTCATATTTAAAGTTTTTTTGTATCAAAAGGCACAATATACAAAGTAAAAAGATAACCCACCGAATGGGAGAAAATATTTGCAAATCATATATCTGATAAAGGCTTAATACCCAGAATATATAGAGAACTCCTAAAACTTAATAGGAAAACAACCCAATTCAAAAATGGGTAAAGTGCTTGAATAAACATTTCTCCAAAGAAGATACACAAATGAACAATAATAGCACATGAAAAGATGCTTAACATCGCTGTTAGGGAAATACAAATCAAAACTGCAGTGAGATACCACCTCACACGTCCTAGGATAGCTACTATCAAAAACACAAAAAAAAAAAAAAAGTGCTGGCAAGGATGTGGGAAAATTGGAGCTCCTGCACACTGTTGTAGGAATGTAAAATGGTGCAGCCGCTATGAAAAATAGTATGGCAGTTCTTCAAAAAAGTAAAAATAGAAATGCCATATGATGCAACAATTCCACTTCTGGATATATACACACAAGAATTGAAATCAGTGTCTTGAAAAGATATTTGTATACCCATGTTCACAGTAGCATTATTCACAATAGCTAATATGTGGAAGAAGCTCAAGTGTTCATCGAGGGATGAATGGATAAGCAAATGTGGAATATACATACAAAGGAAAGAAATTCTGCAATATGGTACAACATGGATGAACCTTGCAGACATGCTAAGTAAAATAAGCCAGTTACAAAAAAAGACAAATTCCACTTATATGAAGTACTTAGAGTTGTCAAAATCATAGAGACAGAAAGTATAATGGTGGTTGCCAAGGGCTAGGAGGAGGAAAGAATAGTTATTTTTAATAGGTCTTGTATTTTGGTTTTACAAGATAAAAAGAATTATAGGGATTTATGATGGTGATGGTTCCAACAACATGAAGGAAGGTATTAATACTCCTGAGCTGTACATGTAAAAATGGTTTAAATAGTAGCTTTTACGTCATGTATATTTTACCACAGTTTTTTAAAATATTTTTTTATTTCAGAGAAGAAGGGAAAAGGAGAGAGAGAATCATCAATGGTGAGAGAGAAACATCAATCAGTTGCCTCCTGCATGCCCCACACAAGGGATCGAGCCTGCAACCCAGGCATGTGCACTGACCAAGAATCAACCCTGACCTCCTGGTTCATAGATTGATCCTCAACCACTGAGCAACACCGGCCAGGCCACAATTTTTAATTATTTGCTTTTTCTAATCACTGTTGTATACCACATTAGCGATTTTAGGTATAAAAGCATATGATCCTTTTAATAAACAGAAAAAACATTCCATAAAATTATCATCCATTCATGATAAAAACATTTTAAAAACTGAATAGAAGGGAATTTTCTTAATCTCATGAAGGTCATCTACAAAATACAAAAGCAAACATCATATTTAATGGTGAAATATTGAAAGTTTTCACTCTTTTAAATAGGAAACCAAAAAAATAAATAAAAATAAAAAATAAATAGGAAACCAACTCCCATGTACCCATCATTCAGCTGCAACAGTAATTATCATTTATGATGAATCTTGTTTCACTGCCCCCCACCAGACATTATATGATTTCATCCATATATTTCAGTATGTATTTGAAAGATAGGAATTTCCTATTTAAAAACATCATTATGTCACACTTAATAACTCGTTAAATATCATCAGTTCAAATTTTCCTGATTGTTTTATAAGTTTTGTGTATGTTTTTCAGTTTGTTTGAATCAATTTCTGAATTGTCATGAATAGACCTTACTTGGAACTTGATTCAAACATATCTCCTTTTTTTTCCTATTTATTTATTGAAGAAACTAAATCATTTCTTCTGTAGTTTTCCCCAGACTATATTTTTCTAATTGCCTTATCATAGTGTTGTTTAATGTTTATGTCCCCTTTATCATCTATGAATTGGTAGGAGATCTGTAAGTCATATTTAGATATGAAGTTTTTATCAAAATCTAAACTGTCGAATCTTAGGGTTTTTTTGGCTGCCTTGTGCCAATGCAAAGATGTGTTAAAACCCTTCTGTCATTCCAAGTATAAAGCTACATATTCAGTGACTGAATCTAGTTTTAATGACATTCATTGTCTCAACAGAGCTCAACTTTTCATGATTTTATGTTTTTATGTCTTCTCTCCTTTGTCATCTTTCTTCAGAAAGTATTAGAATGTAGTAATTACCAATTTCTAAATTTATTTGCATAGGGAAATGAATAAGCGACTAACAGAAGAACAAGCCAGAAAAACATTTGAGAGAGCCATGAAACTGGAACAAGAATTTACTGAGCATTTCACAGGTTGGCATCATATGTGGCAGTTCCCTTTATGATAGAATTTTGCTTTGGAGCCATATGAAGTGACCCATTGAAAAGGATTTTGAACTATGCCCACATCTACCAGTAGTAATTGATATTATCATTTTCAAAATAATACATCTAACCTAGGCAGTGATGATGAGGACTCTTGAAATTTAGTATTTCTTGGGTTATTGATTAGGATAGCATGTATAAGAATAACTCACACGTGACTGGAGAAAAATAGACTCAGATTTTATTTCTTCTATGAAATTGACTTTTATCCTTTATAAATCTTGATCCATTTTAAGATATTACTTGTTTAAAAAGAAAAGAATGAGTAGCAATTTCCAAATAATCTTTCTAATTCATTTTGTCCTTTAAATTACCCCTTAGGTATCTTTGAACAGTTTTTTGTCATTATTGTTATTTGTTTGAAATAATGGTAAGTGTATACTTGGTAGTCACACTAAGTACCATTAAGTGCCATGATGTTGTGACCCATTTGCTTTTTTATATATGTAATAATTTCAGACTTACAGAAAAATTGTAAGAGAAGTACCAGCAATTCTTATATACTCTTACTCCTTATTCCCCAAATGTTAACATTTACCACATTTATAATTTTTTTCTGAAACATTTAATAGTAGGTTGCAGACAGATGCTCTTTTGGCTCTAAATACTTCAGTGTGTATTTCCCAAATACACAAAAGAAAGTAAAAATTACCAAATCCCACTTTTTGATCAGTTTTTAAAATAAAAGTTTTTATATTTTACAAATGGGAAAATTAATTAAATGAGCAATTTAAACAAACAATACATAAATGGTATCCATTCCTGAATGAATAACTATTTCTAAGATTTGGTGTCTACTATTTCACCAATAATTATAATGGTGAAGATAGACAATTTAATGGAAGTTTCTGATTTCATTACAGCTATTGTACAGGGCGATACGCTGGAAGACATTTACAACCAAGTGAAGCAAATCATAGAAGAACAGTCTGGTCCGTACATCTGGATTCCAGCGAAAGAAAAGTTATGAGGACTGATGTTTTTCTGTTCCAGTCTCATTTTCTTTGACATTTCTTTTCCCTTTCCTCTGGAGTCTGTCTTTAATACTCCTTCCATGTTGAATCTTATCCCACTCATCATGGTCTGCAAATCGCACTTATTTTTGCAACCTAGTGTCTCCTTCAAGTTGTAGCATCTGTATTATTTTATATCACTACTGGTTTGTGGCCATTTTTCAGAACTGGAAATGGAATGGCCTGACCAGCTATTAAGAATTTGGGAAGATGAGGAAATTGTGGTAAAATTCCTTAATGTTTAAGGGAAAGTAACTTTAAAAGATTTTCAGAAAAGCTTTATATACATTTTTTCAAATTTCAATATAAATGAAAGAAAAGTGGTTTTAATCAATGATTTAGTAAACTTGGAGCAACAGTGCACGCTTAACTTTAATAGCATGGTTTGGCCAATATACTAGTTCTCAATCCTTTTCTCAATTGATCTGTCTTATCTCAACAAATATTTCATTATAGGCAAATAAGAAAATGTATGTTTTTTAATTTCAAAATTAATGTCTGGATTAACTTAATTTCACAAGGGATATTCATTTTTCATAAGAGTTCTTAAAGTCTATTATTGTTTAAGGGCTTTGTGTTTTTCTTTCCAATACATCTGCTAGGGATAACAATGTTTAAATGTTTTTAACATACTTGTGCAACACTATTCTTACAAAAGTTGTCCATATGTAATAAGCATCACATTTCTGAAATGAGGCCATGTTTAGGTGCTAGGGGGAGCTCACCTTTTACAGATAAGGTTGAGAAAATTTCGTAGACAAAAGTACAGACAAAACCAACATTATAGTGGTGATATAGTAATCATGACCATGGAAAAGGAGTCCAACTCATAGTCTAAACTTTAAACATATCCTTAGGGGTCAGATTTTAATGAATATTTTACCCACAATAACTGCCTATTTTGTTATAATAAATATATATATATATATATAAATATATATAAAACTTTCTTTAACTAAACTCTGTAACTATGGGAATTATTTTCTTTACATAGTTGCACACACAAACATATATATATATTTAAAATATATTTTTTTCTTTTGTCACCTACTCTTAACTTTTTGTTTGTTTTTTAATTAAATATTAATTGATTAGACTTTATCTTCCTTAATCATGTGAACTGAAAACAGGGGTATGGTGGTTATGGAAAGAAATCTTTAGGGAAATTAGATTACATGTAAAAGTATGCATGTTCTCCTCTTTTCTATAAAAGTTTTCAAATGGTTCCTGGTTGGTTTGATTTTGTTTTTATTACTGTTATTCTTGTCATTGGGTTTGAATTTGGTTGTATGCCTCTCCTTCCAGTTCTCCTTTCATTAATAGGAAAACAGGCAAAAAACCTTGTGTGTGTGAGTGTTTTCCCCTCAGACTGAACACCTTTCATCTCATGGCTGCTTTTCACTAGAGTTGCACAGATCTTCATGGTGAACAATTTCAAGAAATTGTAGTGAAAGGTAGATATGGTTTCAGAAATCAGTTTCTCTGGTCTTTTATATTAATAATATTGTTTAGCTTCCCATTGCTTTTTTTGGTGTTGTTTATTAAGTATGTGTTTTTGACAACCTCCACCTTACAGTTTCTTAAACAATGAGTACTGGTTTGTAAAGAATTATCAACATTATCCATTCCATTTATGAGAAAGAGGAGAACAGCTAATAAACTTTATTGTGAATCCATATGTTAAATGTGTCTTGAATTTTGAAAGAAAAATATTATTTTGCAAGCTAACATTTTCTTAGAACAGTTTTGGGCATCACATAATTTATAAACAATTCAAGAGCTGTTAGGCAAGATAATCAAAATTTCTTCTGTAGGTTTGGTATTAAGTATGTTAACACAATACTGTAGCTGTTATACTAAATACAGTAGATTGGTACCAAACCAAATATACTAAAAAAAGTATTGTAAAATCCTTCAAGAGCTCCCAAAATCACCATACAACAAGATCCCAGCATAAGACTTTTTGAAGTATTTACTGGTCAAATGTTGTAAAATATCGAGAGGTTATAAATTATGCCACTTATGTATTAAAATATGTATATTCAGCCCCTACTATGTAAGTTGATTTTTTTGTAAGAAAATACAGTTGACCCTGTAAAAACATGGGTTTCGACTGCACAGGTTTACTTATATGTGGGGTTTTTTTGGTATTTGTGTTTTTTTCCCCAATAAATATATAGTCGGCGCTCTGTATCCCCAGGTTTCCCATTTACGGATTCAGCCAACCATGGATTGGGAATCCAGGGATGCGGAGGGCTGACTGTACATTGTTTTACGCCATTTTATATAAGGGACTTGCGCATCCATGGATTTTGGTATCTGTGGGTGGTCCTCCAGTAGCGACAAGTGTAGTTACGTTTGGGGGGAGTCAAAAGTTATATGCAGATTTCCGACTGCACAGGGATTGGCCCCTCTTAACTAGCCCTCATGTTCTTCAAGGGTCAACTGTACTAACTTTTGTGCACCGTTCTAGATTGTATAGAATTATTAATAAAAGTACTAATTGCTTAGTACAATTCTGCAACAGCCACTTTAGTATATTCTTATTTAATTAATATAAAGAAGATAAGAGTTAGTAACCCCACTATAAGGCTTAAGTGAAATCACTTGCCGAAGATGACTTAGCTAGTAAGGAGCAGGGTTTGATGTTTGTTTCCAAGTCTCTCTGCCCCTAGTTCTTCCTAATATACTATGCTGCCTTGTTTTCAGCCCCTACTATGTAAGGCACTATGACTTCGGTTATGTTATTTTGGTGTCCCTTTACAGATAAAGACTTAGATCAGTGGTTCTCAACCTTCCTCATGCCACGACCCTTTAATACAGTTCCTCATGTTGTGGTGACCCCCAACCATAAAATTATTTTCGTTGCTACTTCATAACTGTCATTTTGCTACTGTTATGAATCGTAATGTAAATATTTGATATGCAGGATGTATTTTCATGTTACAAATTGAACATAATTGAAGCATAGTGATTAGTCACAAAAACAATATGTAATTATATATGTGTTTTCCAGTGGTCTTAGGCGACCCCTGTGAAAAAAGGTCGTTCGACCCCCAAAGGGGTCTCGACCCACAGGTTGAGAACCGCTGACTTAGATGAAGGCACTTGCCCAGAATCACACAATAAGTAGGGAACAGACACATAGAACAAATCATTCCCATTACAGCTGAAACAACTGTTTGTGGGAAACAAGCCACACTAACTGTCCCAGTGACATACAAAGGAAGAACCTCCTGAGAACCAAAATGGAACAGTATCCACTATTCTAACTCACAGAGGCTAAAACTATTTGAACGACTTATGAGATATTTCTTATTTGTAAATGCTTCTTTATATCCTAAAGTTGAAAAATTTTAAATGCGATTCCTATTCCATATCTGCCAAGGGCTCTTCAAAAAATAATGAAGCAAACTTGCAGAGCAAACTTGCAGAGCTCGTTCCATTTTAAATAAGGGACTTGGGCATCCATGGGTTGTAGTATCCATGGAGGAACTGCTCTGGTTAACAAATACATGCTAAACCATTATATAGTACTTAAACTCCAAAGATGGCAATTTGGGGACTTCACTTACAAGGAAAATTTGTTTTCTAAAGAAATAAACAGTTCTCTTCCAAGATTCTCTGTCTTGGATACTTTCAGTTTACATGTGGTGAAACAGAAGCCCAGAGGTCCCAATGTCTTAACCAAAGTTACAATGCAAACCAGGAAGAGAGCCAGATTAGAAGCTTTAATTCCTGGACAGTGGTCTTTCTACTCTACCAGTTCTTTTCCTCCCATGCTGTGAGCTGAATTTAATGGGTGATGTGTCCCTCGAGGTTTGAATTACTAATTAAAAGAAAGTAAATGTCAATAAATTTAAGAGATTGTTATTGCTGTGTTTGAATTTGAAAGATATCTAGGAAAAAACAGGAATGTTACTTTTCTGACCCAGTTTAGATTACCTGGTATTTTAGCTGAATGTTGAAGATTCCATTGATCTCCCTGAAGAATTGCATAATACAGCTGTCCTTAGCTTTAGCAGCAGAGTGCTATAATGTGAAGAATGTGGGCTGTGGAATCAGAGCTTGATCTGAATGCCAGCTGTGCCTCCTACTGATTATATAACTAAGATTGGGCAAGTTGTACCATTCCTCTTTCTTATTACTTATCTGCAACTTGGACATATTTTGAGAAGCAGTAAAATTACAAATAAATCTTAGCTAGCACATAGTACACTCTATGAGTTAATTCCCTTTTTCTTTGGCATAGAAGCCTGGAATTGTTCCAATTCCCCTTGTAGAAATTAACCTGAGCCTTCATTTTGCCATATTTTAAATGGGATTCGAATGACTAACTTGCAGGATTGTTATAAGGGTTAAATAAACTAGTGTGTGCAAAATACCAATCACAGCATCTGATACTTGACTCTCAATACTTCCTGTTCTTCCTCTTGCCCTGTACTATTTATGGTGGGTAGCAGAAGACAGAAGAATATGGTCCACCTTTCCTCATCCCCTGTAGAGAAATCTTAGACTTTTAGTTAAGGAATTATTTACATTTCAGTTCCTATCATCTTGTTTACTCGTATCTTCCTTTAAGGACCCAAACTCTGTCAGAGATGCCTGTGACTTTGACCTACTGCCCTAACTCAACATGGAACTGGAAGACATGATTTCATAAGCTATTCCCACATCCCTGCATAGTGCTAGACCCAACAATCCATAGCAATTCTCCAGAACATTTATTATTGAGAGTCTATAAATGCCTGGAAAAGATTAATGACCCAGATAAGGTACATTTTTTCCTCCAATTTGACTAAGACCAGAAGAGTCACGATTTACTACTTTCTCACTGACTTTACTGCCAGCTCTTTCTCCTTTCCACCCCCAAATATGGTTACCTGAGAGCTGGCAATACAAATCCTGGTCTGCTAAACCACACTGAACAGATGTGGTGGCCAGGTAAGCTGGTATTATTTGAGGCTTTAAGAAACAGATACCAAACCTGACCAGGGCGAGTGTCACACTACAATTTTTCTAGCAGTTTGTATTCCCCATAGTAGTAAAAAACACATGGAGAGAATTAGGGGAAGGAGACCAGAGGACAGTAAAGGCTGGAATTCTCCCACTCTTCTCTTGCTTACTTTTTATTGAAGTATACATAGATAAAATGTATTAATATCATAAGTATACATAAACTTCAAGGAACAAACATCACATGGGTGACCATGTAACAACCAACATGAAGCTCAAACAACAGAACATGACCAGCACCCTGGACATGACCCCCGCCCCACTCCCCCATCAGCTTTCTCCAAGTCATTACTCCTACTCCAAGGGAAGCCACTATCCTAACTTACTGTATTTTTTAATTTATGTACTGCAAAATTCTTTATGGTGTACAATTCTATGAGTTTTGACACATGCATAGAGTCATGTAACCACCCCCACAATCCAGAATACAAAACAGTTCCATTATCCCAACATTTCTCTCATGCTTGCCCCTCTGTAATCAATACCTTCTCCCACCCACAACTTCTGACAACCACTGATTTTTTATCACTGCCTATAGTTTTGCTTTTCCCAAAATATCATATAAATGGAATATCATATGTAGCATTTTAGATGTAGCTTCTTTCCCTTAGCAAAATGCATCTGAGACTCATCCATGTTGCTTATGCATCAATAGTTTGTTCCTTTTCGTTGCTGGGTAGTATTCCACTTATAAATACACTCCAATTTTTTTTAGCCCCTCACTAAGTGGATGTTTGGTTTGTTTCCAGCTTATCCTGCTATATTTGTGTACTCCTTTGCAACGCTAGGCCTGCAGGAACAAGAAGCAGAACCAGAAATGGATTTCTGATCTCACAGCCATGACAGGCCTTCCCCCACTCCACCTCTATCTCTACCGCGCATCCACACATTGTGGCAGTGGCACAGGAGCCTGTCATCCTAAAACAAACTCTAAATGAAGAATGACAGATCCCAGGGGCCTGGATACAGAACAAATTTGTTCCTAAAGCTGGAGACGGCAAGAATAAGCAATTAAAGTTTTTAGAATTTCAAATTCCCAGGAATAACACTCATGATCCAAGAGCTAGATGTGCCCATGACTGGCACCACGTTCTCCTTGCTGGTGTCCGAGGGGAAATAAGTCGTCTCTTTAGGGCAGTAGTAAATGAGGAGAAAATGGTCTGAGCAACAAATGAAACCAGCCATTTGTTAAAAATGAGATTGTCTAATAAGGTAACAATTTAGAAAATAGTCCACCAAGACAGCCTTACTCTCTTAAGAAAATCTTCGTTGAGCCCCAAAGGATTGTATTTTGTTTTTTAAAATTATTAACTACCAATATTCTTTAGGTGGTAACCTCTCTGCATCTTAAATATTACTAATATTCTGTGATTGACAGAAATCTAAGTGCAGCATACTTAGGGAATCCTTGAGCCAGAGCTGGTCTCTGATTGATTGATTTGACACTCAACCCTTTTGCATGCTGAGCACATGTGACCTTGTCGGTCTTCTTCATTCTTACCACAATATGACTTGATTTCTCACATGTGTGTTTTCAAAAATAGCAGGTCACTCCTTTAAAATGGCTCTAGACTATACCTTAGGAGTTACTGGTGTTTGCCCTAAGTGAGAATAAACTACTCAAATTGAGCATATATTCATCCCTATTTTCTCTAA